TGCTGACCGCTACATCACAGCCCCCGCCACCCTACGCAGGATTACAAAGGAGTACTTTCTAACCCTAACCCAATACTGTCAACACTAAGTCTCAGGAAGAGCAGAATACAAGTAATATCACCGGCCCTGAGGAACCAAAGCTCCTTTGTTTCCCCTAAAGATTCTGCTCATTTATCCACGTTGGGCAGGGAGGGTGGGGGGGCAGCGGGCGGACATCCTGTCGCTGTGTGCTGCAGCTCGCTGTGTTCAGAGAGGTTACTGAAGGAAGTTCAGTTCAGGAGCAGAGTTTTCTGTGGGAGACGGGAGCTCCCTTTGGGCTGGACTTCACTTTGCAAACCTGTTCCATGCACAGAAAGATTTAGAAGTCACTAAAGCAGAGCAGAAAAGTCAAAAAGCAGAATATGACCTCTTTAAAAAAGTAAAACAACAACCGATGTCTGTTTTTCCCGTTTAGGTTTTAAATCAGAAAAAAACTAAAACGGCTACGTTTTTTGTTTTGTTGTTCGGGTTTGAAACGGAAGAATCAAAGAATGAACGACATAAGGACTCACCTGCTGCTCTGCTTCAAGTTTTAAAGGGCTGGCTAAAGGTCAATAAAGATCAGAGGGTGTGGGGATTAATAATTACACTTGCCAATCACATCGCTGGTCTCATCGCTGCTCAGCTGAGCCAATGGATGAACAGGCCCGACAGAAACACGATGATAGAAAGAAATGATAAAGTGTGGATGACGTTTTTTTCATCACATATTAAATGGTTGAGGAGAAAGGAGGACACGTTCTAGTAAATATAACATTCCTCTTTGTTGTTCTCTGCAGATCGACCTTTAAGGAGTTCTGTGCTCGTTACTGTGCTGACCAGCGGTTCAGCGCCCTCAACAGGAAGAAGGAACAGGAAGTTCTCTTTCAGCATTACATCACTTCCTTAAAGAAACGCGACAAGGAGAACAGAGCCAGACTGAGGAAGATGAGATGAGAACGCTGTTCTAGAACCTTACAGAACCATCTAGAACCTTTGTAGAACTCATCCAGGAACTTTCACAACCTTCCAGAACCTTCAAAAAAAGGACCTTGTGTTCCACCACACTGAGCAGATGCTGTCCTGACTCTCACTGATGGTTCTGTTGGAGCAGCCAGAGCAGAAACCCAGAGACCAGATGGAACCAGAGAGACCAGACTGGGGCCAGATATCATACTGGAACCCGTATGTGATACGGCAGGAGGAGGGCCAGGATCATCAGACTGGTTTCTGGACTGTAGTGGTCTGGAATGTCATCTGGACCTACTGAACTGGTCCAGAACTGGACTGAATCTAACTCAGACATTAAAAGAACTGGCTTTAAAAAGAATAGATCTGTCTGTGGCCTGGCTGGGTCAATCAATCAAACTTTATTTGTGCAGTTTACTTTTAAAAGTAACTTACAGGATTACTGCCCTTACAAAGTAACACAGCGCTGCTCACTGAGGAACTCGTTAGTACTTAAATGAAAACCTTCAGCCATTCCTTGCACATGTTTCATTTCATTTCATTTATTTATTTAAGGACAGTGCACATTAATCAACATTTCTGTAAATGTGCCAGTGTTAGCCAGCAGGCTAATTTTCAACTGTAGTCCAGTTGACTACAGTACGGTCGTCATCGCACAGCCTCGTTTACGGCCCGTAATCAGTACCTGTGCAGGTAATCGTCCCTGTACCGCTCATGTGTTTGATCACAAGTAAAAAACAATTGACGAGGTTCCGCTGCTCAGTGCATAGACCCCAACAAGTTCCTTCAACATCCAACAGCTGCACTGACAAAAGCAAAATTATTTTAAGAACTTTTGGCTGCTAACGACCTGGACACGGGCGGATCAGCTGCCTCTCAGACGTTTCAACATGCGACCAGTTAACCAGGTCAGAGATCTACCCGAGCTACACCTGAGCGCTGACACCGCTGCAGGGTTGGACCACGCCACTCGCAGCAGAAACAGGAAACACGGTGAACTTTAACAGTAACGGACCGCTTGTTTGAAAACGTAACTAAATGGAGGATTACGTAGATTACAAAATGAACGCATTACGTTAGTATTTAGAACAAAAAAGTAATGTGGGTTCTCTAATGAGTTACTTTTTAAGGCCAGCGCTGCTGGTGAAGTGTTTTACAGCTGATAATAATAAGACAACGCAAATACAAACAGAAAACTATTTGAGTAACGAGCCCATTCTCAGTCCAGTAGTTAGCTTTGTCACATCTTTCACGTCTGGTACCAACAAATATGTCCCATAGCACCATTGTTCAACACTGAAAGTGCTTCTGTAAATAACAAAAAAGGTGGACAGGTGAAGCAAAAACAGGAGACATGTGAAACAAAAAGTCAACATTGATTCCTTTTAGTGATCTTACTTAAGTTACGGAACCAAAGTCCTTATAGGCAAGTCATGCCAAGCGGCATGAGAGAAGATGTGACTGAATAACGTATTTATTTTTACCCAAACCATGATCTTTTTTCTAAACCTAACCAAACTATGATGTTCCACAACACAAACCACTAGCTTTATTTTTAACGGGACATTGCATATTAATTCTTGCTAACTTGACCGCGGAGCCCCACAAGTATTGGCATATAATATATATATTGGCAGTTTTGCGACAATGTGCTCTATAAGTGCTGAGCGGGAGGAGGCTAATGAGCCGGCCGGCCAATCAGCTCACAGAGCCCTCTGTCCCTGCAGTCACGCAGACACACAGACTTTGTACGCACAGAAAGTTCTTGTGAAACTTAAATAAAACAAAAAACAACATAAGTATTATGACAGGGGACTGTTGATGCTTTATTATCGTTATTCTAAATATACATACAGCGTTAATGCAATGTTACAGTTCTGATTACATTGCTTGCTTTTTACTTGTTTTTATTTTATATAATTCGTAATTATGCACCGATATACCAAAGCAACAGATCGGTTGCAGCTTTGTTCTGCTTACACAAGATTAAATTAAAAAAGGTTTTAAGTTGCACTTACATTTATATTCCTCCCATTGTTTACTTCTGAATTCCAAAACCCTGAGATTGGCAACGCCTGGCCTAGCATATTGCAGAATAATCCAAATTAACAATTTCATGCTGCCTACTACAACCACTCATCATGGAGAGTCTATGAAGCACTGTGAATGTTAGTGAAATGACTGCTAAATCTTTATCAAAGAAGCAGATACGTGCTGACACAGCTGCTCCTCTGTTGTTCTGATGATTCAGCAGTTTGACCTAGATCACAACCTATCAGCAACACTGAACATGAGGAACACGAAACAGAATGTTCCTGCAGAACCTCAAATAACTGAAATAACTGCTGACGCTGAACACGACGAACACAAGGAGGACGAAGCAGACTGTTCCTGCAGAAGCTCAATTAATTGAAATAACTGCTCACGCCGAACACGAGGAACACGAAGCAGACTGTTCCTGCAGAACCTCAAATAAATGAAACAACTGCTCAAACTGAACACGAGGAAGACGACGCAGAATGTTCCTGCAGTACCTCAAATACCTGAAATAACTGCTCACGCCGAACACGAGGAACACGAAGCAGACTGTTCCTGCAGAACCTCAAATAACTGAAATAACTGCTCACGCTGAACACAAAACTGACTGTTCCTGCAGAACCTCAAATAACTGAAATAACTGCTCACGCTGAACACGAGGAACACAAAGCAGACTGTTCCTGCAGAACCTCAATTAACTGAAATAACTACTCACGCTGAACATGAGAAACACAAAGCAGACTGTTCCTGCAGAACCTCAAATAACTGAAATAACTGCTCACGCTGAACACAGAACAGACTGTTCCTGCAGAACCTCAAATAACTGAAATAACTGCTCACGCTGAACACGAGGAAGACGACGCAGAATGTTCCTGCAGAACCTCAAATAACTGAAATAACTGCTCACGCTGAAGACGAGTAACGCGAAGCAGACTGTTCGAGCAGAACCTCAAAT